TCTACATCACTAAAGTTTTCTTCAGATGTGGAAGTCATCTAAAGGCTTGACTGGGGCTTCTAGAACTTCTTCCAAAGTGGCTAATTTATATGCCTGACAAGTTGGCCCTAATAAGTCATTTCCTTACACATGGGGCTCTCAGAAGGGCTGCTTGGGGTTTTTATTATGTAGTAGCTGTCTGTCCCTAGAGCAGTGGAACCAAGAGACCAATGTGGAAGACCAATATATTTTATGAATTAGCTGCCAAAGTGCATGCTGTCATTCAGCAATAGCCTGTAGGTCACATAGGTTAGCCCTACTTAACAACAGAGGGGTCTGCACAAGGACATGAATCCCAGAAAGCAAGACTCATTGGGGGCAATGTCAAAGATTGGTTACCATGATGCATAAAAAGCCATTGAAATGTTCATGATACATCTCACATATATTCTTAGACTTTTTTAAAAAGAGCAATGTAAAATAATAATTTAAAAAATTTTGAAAACTTTATCTTCTTACTATAATTTTTATATTATATGTATTTATAAGACATCCATTTTTGTGAAACAAAATGGGTTATATCTCTCATTTACTGTATGTCTACATTTCCTGTATATCTTCTGCATCCAACTTATTCCTGTTTTATATTTCTCCTACCTTGGTGTGAACAATATTGTCTATTCATTCAACAAGACATCTCGTTGCATCCTAGTCCTCAAATTAATGATTTCTTGCCATTTTTCTCAGAATTTGAGAAAATCCTTACAGTTGCTTATGAAATATTTGTGCTTATGCTCAGTACCAGGGTCAACAAATCTTTTTTTTTTTTTTTTTATAAAATGAAACCCTTCAATTCTAAGATAGAATCTGTTTTTTCTCTATTCTATTGTTTTCTCAAATCAGTTTAAAAAGTAAGCAGAACTTAACTTACTAAGGAAGGAACATACAGTCATCACAGACAAATGAGATAATGATGTCTTCATGTTTGCTAAACTGTTCCTTCCTGAGAGCGCCATTCACTTGCCTTAAGGAAAACAAAACAAAAATAACAAGAGAGAGAAAAAAGAATAAGTTCATAAACTGTGCCTTTATATTCCATGTAAATACCTTAATAGCATCTTGTATAATTTAGGCAGTAGACCCTTAGGGCACATGGAACCAAGTCAAGGTATTTTCAGCTGCCTCATATGCATGTAAAAGCTGAACGATGAACAAGGAAAACTGAAAAAGAATTGATAATTTTGAATTATGGTGCTGGTGAAGAATGTTGAATATACTATGGACTACCATAGAGCATAGCAGCAGACAGGGATCTAGGTAAGAGGAACGACCCAGGCTCCACCCCCACCAGCCAGGAAAGCAGGGGAAATAGAAGCCAAGGAGATGACAGAAGAGAGCAGCAGCCAGGCATCCAGGTAAGGGGAAGGACACAGGCCCCACCCCCACCAGCCAGGAAAGCAGGGAAAAGAAAAGCCAGAGGGCATGACAGAGCAGAGCAGCAGCCAGGGATCCAGGTAAGGGGAGGGCAGAGAGGTTTCAAACAGGTGAGACAAACTTGTATGTCAGTTTGTCATACTATTCTGGCTTGTGTGTTTCTGTGAGGCTTGAGGCTGTGCCACTAATGTTTCAAGTGCCAGCAGGGTTGGACCTGGTGCATAGGTTTTAATGCAGCTTACAGACTGAGACAGATTAGGAAGAAGGAAGAGGCCAAGCACGTCTCAAAGAATTAGCCAGGGAAAACCTTATGAATAGCAGAGAAACACAGTCTGATACGTTACTACGCAACTTTATGAAGAGTCTGGAAACATTTTCTGATACAGTACAGGAGAACAAACCTCAGCTGCAAACATCCATTAATAATCAGAACATGGAAAACGTTGTCAAAAATGAAATAGGAACACATAAAGATTGATATCCTAGGCATTAGTGAGCCAAAATGGACAGGTTTTGGCCATTCTGATTCAGATAACCATATGATCTACTATGCTGGGAATGACAATTTGAAGAGGAATGGCACGGCATTTGTCATCACAAAAGATACTTCAAGATCTGTCCTGAAGTATAATGCTGTCAGTGATACGATAATACCCATAAGTCTACAAGTAAGACCATTTAATACGACTATTATTCAAATTTATGCACCAACCACCAAAGCCAAAGATAAGGAAGTTGAAGATTTTTATCAACTTCTTCAGTCTGAAATTGACAGAACGTGCAATCATGATGTGTTGCTTATCACTGGTGATGGGAATGCAAAAGTTGGAAACAAAGAGGAATTACCTGTAGTTGGAAAATTTGGCCTTGGTGACAAAAATAATGCTGGAGATCATAAGGTAGAATTTTGCAATGACTTATGCATTGCAAATACCTTTTCTCAACAATACAAGCGGCAACTATACACATGGACTTCACCAGATGGAGTACACAGGAATCAGATCAACTCCATCTGTGGCAAGAGGCAATGGAAAAGCTCCATATCTTCAGCCAAAACAAGGCCAGGAGCTGATTGTGGAACAGATCATCAACTGCTCATATGCAAGTTCAACTTGAAGTTGAAGACAATTAAAACAAGTCCACAAGAGCCAAAATATGACCTTGAATATCCCTTTAGAGACCATCTAAAGAATAGATTTGATGCATTGAACACCAATGACTGAAAACCAAAAGAATTGTGGGATGACATCAAGAGCATCATCCATGAAGAAAGCAAGAGGTCATTAAAAAGATGAGAAAAGAAGAAAAGACCAAAAAGGATGACAGAAGAGACTCTGATATTTGCCTTTGAATGGAGAGTAGCTAAAGCAAATCTTGGAAGAAATGAGAAGATAAAAGAGCTGAACAGAAGATTTCAAAGAGCAGCTTGAGCAGATAAAGCTAATTACTATAATGGAGTGTGCAAAGACCTGGAGTTAGAAAACCAAAAGGGAAGAACACACTCAATTTCTCAAGCTCAAAGAAGTGAGGAGAAAATTTAAGCCTCGAGTTGCAATATTGAAAAATTCTATGGACAAAATATTGAATACATCAAATGAAGATGGAAGGAATACACAGAGTCACTGTACCAAAATAACTGGTTGATCTTCATCCATTTCAGGAGGTGGCATATGATCAAGAACCAATGGTATTGAAGGAAGAAGTCAAAGCTGCACTGAAAGAATTGTCAAAGAACGAGGCTCCAGGAACTGACAGAATACCCACTGAAATGTTTCAACAAACAGATGCCCCACTGAAGGCACTCACTTGGTTATGCCAAGAGAATTGGAAGACAACTACCTGGCCAACTGACTGGAAAAGATCCATATTTATGCCCATTCCAAAGAGAGGTGATCCCACAGTATGTAAAAATTATCGAACAATATCATTAATAACTCATGCAAGATAATTCAAAAATGGTTACAGCAGTATATTGACAGAGAACTTCCAGAGGTGCAGGCTGGATTCAGAAGAGGACATGGAAAAGGGATATCACTGTTGATGTCAGTTGGATCGTGGTTCAAAGCAAAGAATACCAGAAAGATGTTAACTTGTGTTTTATTGACTATACAAAGCATTTGATTGTGTGGATCATAACAAATTATGGATAACATTGAGAAGAATGGAAATTCCAGAACACTTAATTGTGCTCATGAGGAACCTGCACATAGACGAGGAGGCTGTCGTTCAAACAGAACAAGGGGATGCTGCATGGTTTAAAATCAAGAAGGGAGTGTGTTAGGGTTGTGTCCTTTCCCCATACTTATTCAGTCTGTATGCTGAGCAAACGATCCAACAGCCTGGATTATATGAAGAAGAATGTGGCATCAGGATTGGAGGAAGGCTCATTAACAACCTGCAATACACTGATGACACAACTTTGCTTGCAGAAAGTGAGGATGACTTGAAGCTTATTAATGAAGATTGAAGACTACAGTCTGTAGTATGGATTATACCTCAATATAAAGAAAACAAAAATTCTCACAACTGGACCTATGAGCAGCATCACAATGAATGGAGAAAAGACTGAAGTTGTAAAAAATTCACATTTCTTGGTTCTGCAATTGACACCAATGGAGGCAGCAGTCAGGACATCAGATGATGTACAGCACTG